AGCGAGAAGACGAGGAATAGTAGGACTGGCAGCACGAGCAAGGTCAGACACAAGGTCAGGAACGACAGGAAGAGAGGACTCAGGAGGAGGCGGCAGGGGAACACGCAGTGGCACAGAGGAAGCACAAAGAGCCATAATGTGTGTGACGGGAACAGGAGGAGGACGCAGACGAGGAACACGACGACCAGTGCGAACATCGTGAACAGGCGAGGGAGGACGGGATTCAGGCTCATGACACTCTATAAGACCTGCAGTCTGCTCAGTGTAGGGAGAAGGAGCTGGTAGTGGGGAGGCTGGCTGTAGCGGCGGGGAGACAGCCGGGGCGAGACAGCCGCAGGACCCCCAGAAGAGGCAGTACCTCTGGGCTCAGCACCCCCAGACTCCGCACCCACAAGCTCCACACCCCCGGGCTCTGCACCCCCAAGCTCCGCACCCCCAGGCTCAACACCCCCAGGCTCAGCACCCCCAGTCTCAGCACCCCCAGGCTCAGCACCCCCAGGCTCAGCACCCCCAGAAACAGCACCTCTAGCAGCACCTGAGTCTACACCGACCTCACCAAGCACAGCACCAGGGGGTGGGTCTTCCTGAGAGACACCTAAGGGAGCAGGACCCTGAGGGGGGAGGGGGTCTACCGGAGGGAGACCTGGAGCAAGGAAGAGCGGTGGAGGAGGGAGAGGGGCAGAGCGGTAGGGAAAGAGATGGTAGAAGGGAACCGACTCGTCAAACATGACGTCCTGAGAGGGGAGGACACGGCGCGAGGTGGGGTGGTAAAACTGTCAGCCAGGCGCGTCAGGAGGAAAGCCAAGGAAGACAGAGGGGATAGCGCGGGCGGAGAGCTTGTCCGCGGACGTATCGCGAACAAAGGCACGAGAACCCCAGACCCGGAACACCGACGCATCGCCAACCTTCCCCGTCCAACGCAGTATGGGCGAGGTCTCCGGCAAGGAGACACGGGGCCAGAGGTTGAGCTGATGCGCGGCGTACCGGACCGCAAACGGCCACAGAAAATGGGGAGCAGCCGCATGGATCATGGAGGTACGAGCGACCTCCATGACTAAGCCAATGCGGCGCTCAGCAATCCCATTTTGCTGAGGGGAGTCCGGAAGTGTGAACGACTGGAGAATGCCCTCCCCACGACAAAAGTCCCGCAAGAGGTTGGAGGAGAACTCACCACCTCTGTCAGAGTGCAGACGAAGGACAGGAAGGTCCTGGCCGAACCGCTCGCGGAGCTGGAGACGGACTGTGCGGATCCAAGGGATCAAGACATCAACGACTTCACCCTTGCTGCGCAAGGGGAAGACCGTGGTGTACCGCGTGTAGTCGTCAACTACCAGCAGAAAGTAGCTCTCGCGGCCCTATCCAGTGACGCGGGCTGGGCCCCTCACGTCCATGTGGAGAGTCTGCAGGGGAGCAGTCGTCGGGGGAAACGAGGAGGAGTGAGGAGCGGCGCGCTGCCGCCCCTCGACGCAAGGAAGGTAGGGCGGGCCAGGCGAGGGCGGGAGGGGAGGCAAAGACCTGGGAAGACCAGACAAAAGGAGGCGGGAGTGCATGCCACGAAGGCGTGGCAGGGAGGGGTGACCAAGTCGGTGGTGCCAAAGGAGAGTCTGGTGCGACAGGAGGCGACACGAGCAAGGGGGTGATACTAGACCTGACGCGGACACCTGAGCAGACGCAACTACCTGAGGAGGCTCGGCAGCCAGTGTGTACAGACTCGACCCAGGCCGACGGGTGAACGTGGCCAAGTAACGGCCCGTCCGTGTACACGTTCAAATCGACACACACTGACCCCAAGGAGTGGTTGTAGTGACCATCACATCCTGGAGAGCAGCAGTACTCACCATGTTCGTAGAGAACGAGGGGAGGTGAAGACCTGAGAGTGAACCGGATGGAACCGCCGGACAAGTGAGAACAGTGGAGGAAGTGGCAAGAACTGGGCCCCCTGAGGGGTCAGCTTGTCTGACCGGTACATGTGCAGAGAGAGGAGTGAGGGTGATGCTATTGCGAAAGAAACAGCGGGAAGCACGTGGGTCAAGAGTAAAGGTGTGCAAGGCCTCAGCAGGCGCACTACGAGGGAGAGCAGACTCACTAGCACCTAGAGCAGCAGCCTCTATACCTGGGTCAGGCGGCACACACAGGTAACAGTCACCCTCAGCACTAACAGACAATGCATACATAGCAGCAAGGATATCATCATAGTCAAGATCAAAGATAGCAACCTGCGACCTAAGCAGCTCTGCCCAGCGGGGGCGCTCGGCCTCGTCACCAAACTCTGCGCGCCAAGCGACGTCTAGGCAGGAGAAGCAGCGATGCTGAGTGTGAGGCTTCCCGCATGTCTGACCAGCACGGTCACCCGTACGAATGACATATGGGCAGCTACCACTACCCCCAGACGCCCCACGCTGAGAAAACCACTCACGAAGCTGCTGGGGCGACGGGGTCTCGCACGGACGCTGCTACTGCTGCCTCTGGCCACCTCCAGAACCTCCACGCTGAGTAGCTTCAGCCTGACCGCCACCACTCCCACTGCCGCCACCACCGCCACCCCCACCGCTGCCACCACCGCCTCCGCCAAATTCCCCACTCCCGCCACCACTCCCACCACCGCCACCACCTCCACTGCCTCCACCACCTCCACTGCTGCCCCCACCACCACCCCCGCTGCCACCGCCACCACCTCTGCCACCCTTGCCCTTGTTGCTGCGGCGCTTCCCACTAGCAGAAGCAGCCCTGACATCCTCAGCACCAAGGACGTCAACAGTAGCAGCAGAGGCGTACGAGGGGGCAAGGGGGGAGGGGGAACACCCCTCAAAGAAGGGCATGCGAGGAGTGCCACGAGCGGCACCTACAGCGACTACACTAGTCTCAGCTGCAAGGAGGTGCGGCTCGAGTAGGTCAACAGTAAGGGCTGTGGGGTCAAGAGCGAGAAAGTGGTCCCTAACAGCGCGAAGAGAGTCAGGCGGGTGACTAAAGTAGAGAGTGATGTACATCAGGGGCGGGTTCCTGTCAAGGAACTCTGCTGGGAGGGCAGCGCGGTAGCGAGCGTCGCTAGTGCGAAGGTGGGTAACGAGGTCCTCTACTGTGGCAAAGGCGGACAGCTCGGGAAACAGGTCGGGCAGTAGAAGACGGCCTAGAGCAGCCGTGGCAGGCGAGGAGTATCGGGCGACTACAGCGTCGTACAGTGCCTGTGCAGTCTTGTGCTGTCTGAAGTGAGCGCATTCGGCCAACTGCAAGTGGTTGCGAATGGCTAAGAGAGCAGCAGCGTCACGAGTAAGCCACTATGAGCGAGTCGCACTGTCTGCTGTGGCGGGAGGGGCGGGAGCGGCTCCAGACGTGTGGTCAAACAACGAAACGCTGTCTCTAGAGTTGCTCAGCAGGTACAGCTGCAAGTCGTCGAGCCACGTGTCGAACTGGATCGGACGGCCCTCATGATCAAACGCGAGTACGCGGAGAGAAGCCATAGCGGCGCAGCACGCAGGGCGGGCAGGAGCCAGGCAGCACAAGGAAACAGGGCAGGCAGCAGCAAGGGGCGGTAAGCGGGCTGCAAGTGGCGGCGCGCAGGCTGCAAGAGGGGCGGCTCGCGGGCCTAGGGGCGGCTGGCGGGCCTAGGGGTGGCGGGCGGGTCGCAATGGGCGGCGCGCGGGGCTGCAGGGGCTGCGAGATGGCCGCAAGGGGCGGCGAGCAGGGCAGCAGGGGAGGCGGGCGGGCCGCAAGAGGCAGCGCGCGGGGCTGCAGGGGTGGCTCGCGGGCTGCAGAGGCGGTGAGCAGGGCAGCAGGGGCGGCGCGCGGGGCCTAGGGTCGACGGGCGGGCCTGCAAGGGCGGCGCGCGGGGCCTAGGGTCGACGGGCGGGCCGCAAGGGGCGGCGCGCTAGGCAGCAGGGGCAACGGGCGGGCCTGTAGGGGCGGGGCGCGGGGCGTAGGGTCGATGGGCAGGCCTGTAGGGGCGGGCGCGCGGGGCCTAGGTCGACGGGCGGGCTAGCAGGGGCGGGCGCGCGGGGCCTAGGGTCGATGGGCGGGCCTGCAGGGGTGGGTGCACGGGGCCTAGGGTCGACGGGCGGGCCAGCAGGGGCGGGCGCGCGGGGCCTAGGGTCGACGGGCGGGCCTGCAAGGGCGGCGCGCGGGGCCTAGGGTCGACGGGCGGGCCGCAAGGGGCGGCGCGCTGGGCAGCAGGGGTGACGGGCGGGCCTGTAGGGGCGGGGCGCGGAGCCTAGGGTCGACGGGCGGGCCTGCAGAGGCGAGCACGCGGGGCCTAGGTCGACGAGCGGGCCAGCAACGGCGGGCGGGCGGGGCCTAGGGTCGACGGGCGGGTGCGCGGGGCCTAGGGTCGACGGGCGGGCCATTAGAGGCGGGCGCGCGGGGCCTAGGGTCGACGGGCGGGCCTTCAGGGGCGGGCGCACGGGGCCTAGGGTCGACGGGCGGGCCAGCAGAAGGGGGCGCGCGGGGCCTAGGGTTGACAAGCGGGCCGCAAGGGGCAGCGCACGGGGCCCAGGGGCTACGGGCGGGCCGCAAAAGGGCGGCGCGCGGGGCAGCAGGTGTGGCACGAGGGCTACAGAGGGCGGCGTGTTAGCCAGCAGGGCGGCGCGCTGGTAGGGCAGGGCAGCTAGTGGGGCAGCACTGTGGTGGGCCCTAAAAAAAACGGTTCTTGCGAAGGACCTGCTCTGAAACCATGTCAAAAGAAAGAACGAGAATGAATGAAGTAGCAAAGAGTTGGGTACAAGTACTAACCTTAATTGGGTTGTACCCCTTATGGGCTGCACAAAGTAAGCAATATAACATTCTGACATTTAACACTCTAGTGCAATCCTCGCTACCTCGATTCATTGCACCCATAACACCTATCCAATATTCACGACGAGGCTAAAAATAACATTTACCTTCGGAAGCTCGCCAATTACTGCTCTTTAAGAAATCTTCAACACTAACTTCTTTCCTTTGAACATACAGATCCAATATACACTAGCCTCGAAATAACCTACCTCAGCCTCAACACACCCTCCTCTTCTTTACTCTCCTCCCCAGGCCCTAATAATAATTAAAAAAAAAAAAAACCAGAAAAACAACAAACGAAGGAAGAACGACGAGGAGCAATTAAATCCTATGCGGCTTTCTTCAACCTCCCGCAGAGTGCCACCAAGTTTTCTGGATGCCCCACTCTGACATATGCTCCCTGAGCCACTATATTCGCAATAACAGCACGCACTTCTGCCACCGTCCCGGGCCCAACGCGCATAGTGTAACCAAACGTGTAGCGTCCGCGGCGACCACCCTTGGCAGTGGTGAGATTTCGATAGTTATTCGCGTCGTTCTGAAGGGAAATCACATTGCAGGTTTCTCCATAACTCTGCGAAGGCGACGCTCCTTTAGACTTGAGGTTCCGATAGAGTACGCGTAACTGCGCGTAAGCAATCGTTGAACTCGACCTGTGAAACAAGATATGAGGTTAAGACATCATCAGAAGAGGGACAGTTCAAGAGCACATGTTGTTCAGCCCTGAGTGATAGCTAGTAAATGATGTACTGGCAGTAAAACTGGGTGAAGACGTACCTTATGCCCTTTGCGACAAATATCCCCGATGCGCCTTTGTCACCCACGACTAATCTATTATCGTACTTAGTTGGACGCAACTTAGCCACATACTTCGCTGAAAAATAAGAATGGCGAAATAGGTGTCAGCGAGTCACTGGAAGAGCAGCCTCGAAGAAGTACTATGGCTACAGAATGGGCGACAGCGGCATCATGATGGTGTGACGAAATGCGGAACCTGAAATATTTGAGGTTAAATTATTATCAGGAGCTCTGCATGGCACGAAAATCTTACCGAAATTTTTCTTTTGAAGTTGCTGGGGCATGGCTACTTGAGTGGTTGAAGCGAGAGGAACGGTGATGCGGCCATCATCGCGTGGGAGAAATGATCCGGTGAGGAGCGATGCCGACGCGGCGGCAGTGAACAGCGCCGAACCTGATGAGCACACAACGCGACAAGATTATTGAGCGTTAGAACAGTTGAACGGAAATGCAAGGAGCTAAAATAACGCGCAACTCAAAGCCACGCGGCTCAGCAGAACTGATCGACTTTCCTAACATGAAGCCCAAACTTGGGACCCAAAATTGCCTACAGACTTGAGCTTACAGAGCAGGAACATGAGGAAATGAGTTCCAAAACGCCCCATGACCGAACCACCAGTGACACCACTGTAGCAGACAGGAGAGTGGGAAAGAGGAGCAGTGGAAGGTTGGTTTTGAAGGTTGCCATGCCGTGCGGACTGTGCCATGGCTCCGGCCGGACGTATTTTCCGGTTCGGCTACACGTCCGGACCAGGCCTCGACCGGGCCACGGAGCTCTGAACAGTTGGTTGTACACGTGTTTTCATTTGCATTTCAACCTTGTGGAAGCCAAGGTTACAAGGGGTTTGGAGGAAATAGTGGGGGTACACTTCAACAGTTCTCAGTTTTCGGGTACCTCAGCGTGCTTTGATCGGGAAATTCGGGTAATTTTCGTCGTCACCAAGTTGAGTGATTTGCCTTGTGCTGCCGCTGCCAATGACCAGTCGACAGCTCCTTCTATTGGTTGCCTTTGTGCGCATCATGTGTACGGAACCCCACGTCAGGTTTGGTGCGGTGGAAAATCACGAAGCGCGCGAGTGATAACAAAATATGTAAATTTTTGAAAGTGTGTAACACTTTCTAAAATTGCGTATTGTGAATAGCGAAGATATTTGTACCGAAGCAAAATGCTTCGGCGAACCGCTACTTCCCCTCTTTTTCGGTATAAAAGAGGGGGCGAATGCCATTTGACCTTCACCCACGTTTTTCATTTCAAACTTTTCAGTTTTCAAGTTCTCGATTTTTTTCGTCCAAGCTGGCGAGGACTAAGAGCCTTCCTCACTTCACTTCTCCATCGACGCTCCTCTCCGACATCCTCAACCGCAACCTTTCGACTATGGCGCCGACGAACAACAATAGCCCCGGGGCTAAGGACGCAACTCCTCGACCGTCGTCGGGGCTTGAGAAAACGACCCGGGAAACCGGCGCGGAGAAGCGAAAACGCCCCACCGAGGAAAACGCCGAGGGGCCCCACACTGGGGTGGACGTGCTGCTCGGCGAGGGCGGCGGCACACGCTCGCGCGCACCCCAGCCACGCGCATCCCACGAGCAGGCTCATGGGCCTGCAGTCGCCAATGATGACGACTTCGTCGTCATCACTGGCGCTGACGCGGGAGGATCGCGCGCCACCCAGAAGCGGAGGGCGACGGATTCGCCTGCAACCGAGGGGGCGGCGGCGAATCTTTCGCCCTCGCAAGTGGCGGCACTGCTGGCGCTCCTCCAAAAGCAGGCCGCGGCCCCGGTTACAACGCCAGCAGCTACAACAGAAGCGGAAAACTTCGCTTCCGCTAAAACTGCAAACATCCGCAACAACGTCTCCACTTCCGCGAGAGTTGCCGCATCTCACCGCGCCGACAAGGGAAAGGCTCCAGCCGTCGAGGATGAACCCGCTGCACCCGATGACTCTGATTCCGACTCCGACAGCGATGCGGGTGAGGAACCAAACAACCCTATGCCCCTCTTGCCTAACGATCTCCTCCCCCCTCTTCCCTCTCCTCACCCTTCCACCGCGGCCGCCGCCTTCAACCGCAAAGGCGTCCGTGACCAGGCGGAGGTGTTCGAGGCGCTTCAGACTTACCTGGCACACGTGGAACACAAGATCCGCGGAGGCGACGCCGTTGGTGCTCTTAAAACCGTCGGCCAAGCCCAAGACCTCATCAAGCGCCGCTTCGGCGTCTTGGTCGTCGCCGACCATGCCGGATTCGATGTGGCTGAGCGCTACCAACTCCTTAAGACTACGGCGGTGCTCACCTCACGCTCCTTCAAGATGGCAGTGGCGGATATGGCAGCCCTCAAGCGTATGAAGACCGGCTTCGCCCGCGGGAGCCGTCCGTTTCACCGCGATTCCCCCCACTTCATGCCAAAGACCATGGGCAGCGGCAACGGCTGTCGGGGCTTCAAGGAAACCTGTTTCCGATGCGGCCAGAATGGTCACATGGCTAGCGCATGCCCCTACGGAGGCCATGGGGGCAATGGGCCCGCACCGGTGGTGTGAGAGAAGCCCTAAGCAACCTCGCCCTCCCATCTCCCCGCACCCAAGGTTCTCATACCTTGGCTGCCTTTGATGGAGGGTGGGGGAGGGCTGGGCCGGGCGTGGACCAGGGGTCCTTGGTAGTGGCTGCTTAGCCCAAGGCTAGAGGCATGGACTGCCCTAGGGTGTTTGTGTACGTGTGTATGCGTGTGTGTGCGTTCTTACGCAAAGCCCGGGTGGCTATGAACTTGTATTTCTAATTATAATGGAATGTTGCTCAGGCCGTTGGCCTTGGAGATCCAGCCTTATGACCAGTTATGTCACAAAAAAAAAAAAAAAAAAGAGGAAGAAAGAGAGAGAGGGAGAAGGGTATGGGAAGGCAACGACCAACCCAATAGCAAGAGCAAGTAACAATGCTTGGCATGGCAAGGCATAGTGAGTTCTCGTTGGACAATAGTACCTTTTGTTACCAAGCCATCAGACTAACGTGCCTTGCGAGAGAGAGAGAGAGAGAGAGAGAGAGAGAGAGAGAGAGAGAGAGAGAGAGAGAGAGAGAGAAATAGAGAGAGAGAGAGAGGGAGAGAGAGAGAGAGAGAGAGAGAGAGAGAGAGAGAGAGAGAGAGAGAGAGAGCAACACCCCCAAGCGTGGGGCCCACGCCATGGGGAAGCCCAAGGCCAGAGTGGGAACCAAACAGACAGGCCAAGGGACCACGGCTGCTACTCAGCCAGGATCCAACACAGCCGCCCGTCCATCCACCGCAGCACAGAGGCGGCAGCTGGCACAATGTCCCGTGGGGACTGCAGGGCGGCAAGAGCCAGCCGCCTCAAGGAAGCAGGGCCAGGCCCCAAGGCTGAGCCAGGGGAGCCCGGCACCAGCCCGATTGCGGGCAGCATCCGCAGCATCTCCATCGCTGCCGCCACGGCTTCCTCCTGCTCCTGCTGCGACATTGCCGGGTACCCCTCCTCGGGACGCGCCTGCCGGGACTGGTACGCGTGGAACTGGTCAAGTACCATGGCCAACAGAGACAGACACGTCCCCACGTGCCCAACGCGCTGCTCGACGCGAAGTGCCCGTCCCACGGGGGGAGGGTCCTCCCACAAACCCCAGCGGGGCGGCGGGGCCTGGGTCTGATGAGCCCCTTGACAAGCGGGTGGCGGGGAACCTGACAGGACGGTCCCGCGGGGCGGGGGGGTACTCGATGACGAGATCTCCCCCGGAGACAGCGCTGGGGGAGGATCGAGTTGGACGAGTGAAGGCGATGACTGAGGCAGCGGAGGCGGCGACATCTGGAGGGGCTGCAACAGGGTGGGAGGCGGAAGGGGAGTTAGCTGCCGGGACTGCCGCTGCTGCTGGCGGCGACTCAGCCTCACCCCGTGCGACGGGTCCCGCTGTGACGCCACTTCCCGAAATACACGGACGGGTAGAGGAGCAGGAACGTGCAACGGCGGCAACGCAGGTGACGGTTCCCGCTCCACAGGCACAGACAGTGGTGACGACAAGTGCTGCAGTGGGAGCGGACGTAGGCCCAGCCGAGGGAGGCGAAATGATTGGCGCTAGGTCCGCCGAAACGCCTGCTGCCGCCGTGGGCGCAGACACACAGGGGTGCGACCAGGTGGCGGGCGATACACAGGGGCGTGGGAACGGCGTTGCTGCGCACGCCACTCGCGGGAAGGGCAGGAAGAAGCTCCGCGCCCAGCCAGCGCCGAGGAGGCCTGGTGCAGGGCTTGTCCTGGGCCACCCGGGACCCCTCCTTGGCTGGCTTCTGCAAGGTCAAACGCCACAATCGCAGTTGCGTCAACCGCCATCTGCGGTGTCAAACAGCGGGAGAAACGAAGGGGACACTGGCGTCAGACAGGCGGAGATTCTAAGCGACGGGGCGGGAAACATCACGCCGGACGCGAAGATACAACAAGAACCCCAGCGTGAAACACGGAGCTCCACACGAGCACGAGTCATCACCTGGGGCCAGCCGAGGGGAGGCCTGACTGGACGGCCATACTCACCATGGATCCCGGCGGGGAGAACGCCACAATCGGGGCAAAACCGGCGGATCAATGAGCCCCAGGGAAGAGGTGGAGAGACGTCCCGCGGGGCCCGGGGCGGAGATCGTGGGGGACGGGGCGTACGACGGGGCGAAAGCGCAACCGTCGGGGGAAGAGAAGCACTGGTGAGATCTGGGACGTGGCGGGAACGCCACAAACGCCCAGCACAAGAGGCGCCGCCGACGAATCAGGAAGGGGGGGAATCTGACAACAGCGATGACGGGGACGACTATGTAGCTGAAGCATCGCAAGCCTCAGAGACGATCTCGCTTGAGGAGGAGGGAGACGTGACGAGGGGAGTTCGAGGAAGAATGACGAGAGAGCGAAACCCTCAAAATGGAAACCACCAGGGAGAAAACCCCCGGGAGGGAGGAGAGACAGGAGCAGCAGCGGGTATGAGCCAGAGAGATTCAGGAGAACCAAAGGTGCAGTCGCCGGCCGACCTGGCAGCCAACGACGCCATCTGGCAGCTGGCAGGAACATGGGAATTGGCACCCCTGCAGCGAGGGGACCAACCTTTTTTGGTTCGGAGAATGCCCCCCAAAATTCTGGAGAGTTACACCCTCTGTATCCTGGCACCACTCTTGCGCTTAGCAAAACACCCCGATTGCCCGGGTGCGTGGGCGATCCTGCAATTCCTCCCGAGGCTGACCCTTCGACCGCTCCCCGAACTAGTGGAAGGAAGCCGATGGACGGGGATCGAGGGTAGGCTACACCAGTTCCAGCAGGGCAGATGGGGGGAACTCTTCGAAGAGGCAAAAGTCATCCCCGACATAGACAATCCGACACGACACAAAGCGGATGAGGCTGGACTTTGCGCTAGAGCCGAGGGTTTGATGAAGAAGGGTAACATCTCGAAGGCGGTTGCAGCGTTACGGACGACCCCACTCGCCGAGGCCACACCGACGACACTCGCTGCACTGTAGGCGAAACACCCCGATGCTGCACTACCCACCTCGCCCTACGTTACTGGCTACACCCTCTCGGTGCTGAACGTGACCCCTGACGACCTTCGCGAAATACTTAAGCGATGCCCGAATGGAGTGGGAGCAGGGCCTTCGGGCACCTGTTTCGAACACCTCAAAGACCCGGCACTAGCGAGTGAAGAGGTGCTCATACTCCTCGCTAAAACAGTCAGCCACCTCCTTAGCACAT